TGAATTAGACACCGATGCTGTCTTCAAAGAAGCTGATGGTTGTTTAAAGGGTCTTAAGACTTTTTTCTAATGGTAAATTTATTTTTCAAAACCAACACTAAGATGGTAAGAAACAGACCTGGAAATAACAGAAAGTAACAAGAACTCACTGTGACTCAATGGTCTGGCTGGTTAATTTTCAAAGAAGGTATTTAAAGTGGTTTGGAAACTATGAACAAATAAACTACCCCTTCTTCTATCTAGAGAAGGCAATCAAAACTACTAAATGGGGATTAAAAGCTGACCCGTACGCTAAAAGAGAGATCAAATAAAAGATAAAGATGGACTTGGGGGGAAAAAAACAGTAGAATCTGTCAGGTGAAGTTTTAATTTTTTAAACCCCATGATCATTGGCCCACCACCAAAAACGTCCTACATTTAGTTTCCTAAATTGCCATCGGATAAACTGGTGAAATAATCCAGGATGACCCAGGCAGAAGGTAAGGACCAAAAGAAGCTTCTCAGAAACTCACTAAAATGTCAAACTGCAAAAAATAAAATGAGGTAAAAAGACCGAGTGGCTACACACATAAACAACAAACTTCCTCTTATTTTGTTATTATATTTATAACTCATTAGGCCTCATAACTTAATATTTACCTTCTTGAATAATATTGAGACAACTGTCACCAAAAACAGAAGAGTTTTCATGATTTTTATTTGAAACAGCAAGTTTATCTATTCTGGATATATTCCTTCACTGATAAAAATGTACATCACTTAAAATTATGATGTTCCTATTAAGTGTATAACCCTCTGAGTAATAAGTTTAAACTAGTTCTATATTCAATATTTTTTAAAAATACGATCTCACCCAAGCCAGCATAAGAACCTGTGAAGCTAACCTGGAATTCAACATCCACGTCTTTTCAGCTCACAACTCAAGAACAGGTCTAATATTGCTGCACAACCTCTAAAGGAGTCCCGAGCCGCTCATAAGGATACGCCCTTAAAGAGATCTTAGGAGGGAACTCCATGACCCCCAGACCAGCTTAAATGGATCTTCCTGAGGAAGGAATTCCATGAGCTCCATACCACATCAGATCCTTCTTGCTACGAGGTCCTGCTCCCACAATAAAAGGCACCACTCTACTGTTGGTACTTGCTTAATTAGCTACCTTCCATGGAAAGGCAGCCAGTTCCATGGCACCAAATCTGCCATATTGACCCACGTCCTCAGTGTTGATACACTACTTGGCACTTAACCAGGTTCCTCATCTGGGGAAAAAAAAACCTAAGGGGCAGAGTTGTGCCAGCAGAGGGTCCTTAAGGCAACCAAACCAATCAAGGCCATACCTATTCTGTCCCTGCCACAGCGTCCAAAACTAATCACACTGGATTCTCACAGCAACCCACAGAAGCAGCTACTCTTGACTCTATTTTCTGGCTGGAGAAACCGAGGCACAGGGTGCCAACTCTCCATCCCAACGGCAAGGAAATTTTAGAGGCAGTGGTTCTAACTCAGCCTGTCGAATCCTAATCTAGACCATGCCACTATAGACCTTCTAAGAAAAAATCATTTTAAAAATGCATGTATACACTTTGGCGCTCGCTTATGCTCTAACACAAATTAACTGAATGTTATCATGGAAAGCTAGGTAATATTTAGGCCAACCTTTTTATTCGCCCTCCAGACTTGGAAACTGCATAAAAGTCTATAGCATAAGCAATCACAAGAACAAAATATACTCTAAGTTATTTCAAAGAGAAAAGGAAAAGCAAGAGTAATTACTCACTACAGAATTGATAAAGTTTAATTTAAAAAGCAAAAAAGAAATCTTCGTGATCTTGGGATAGGTAAAGATTTCAGAGATATGACATAAAAAGCATGAATCACAAAAAGAAACATCAATAAATTGGACCTTTATCAAATTTAAATACTTTTGCTCTTCAAAAGACCATTAAGTAAAGTCAAAGAATGGGAGACAGTGTTCACAATACATATCACGGACAAAGGGCTTAAATCTAGAAAATATAAAGAATTCATAACATTTAATATTAAGAAAACACATAATCCAACAAAAAAAAGGACAAAAGATTTGAACAGACACATCACAAAAGAAGATATATACGTGGTCAATACACACGTGAGAAGCAGCTCAGGATCATTAGACATCAGGGAAACAAAAATCAAAACCACAATGAGATACCATGTCACAGCCACTAAGATGGGGACAATCAGAAAGACAAACAATAACAAGTGATGACGAGGATGTGAAGAAATGGCTATCCTCCAACAACAGTGGTAGGGATGTAAAATGGTGCATCCACGTTGGAAAACGATGTCTCAGTCCATCCGGGCTACCATAACAAAATATCATAGACTGGGTGGCTTATAAACAGCAGAAATTCATCGCTCACAGTGCTGGAGGCTGGAAGGCCAGGACCTGGGTGCCAGCATGGCTGGGTTCTAGTGCGGGCCCTCTTCTGGGCTGCACACTCCCAGCTTCTTCTTCCGTCCTCACATGGCAGAAGGCCTGAGGGAGCTCTCTAAGGCCTCTTTTATAAGCGCACTAATTCCATGCCTAACCACCTAATCACATCCAAAAAGCCCTACCTCCTAATACTACCACCTTAGGGGTTATAATTTCAACTTAAGAATTTTGGGGGACACAAACATTCAGAACATAACAGTAGAGCCATTTCTTAAAATACTAAACACCGATTTGCCATAAGATCCAGCAATTCCACTCCTAGGTATCTACGAAGAGAGATGAAAATATATGTCCACATAGAAGGTCAATGTTCATGGCAGCATTTTCATAATACCCAAAAAGTGGTAACAATCCAAATACCCATCAACTAGTGAATGGATTAAACAAAATGTGGTATATTCAGACACTGGAACACTCTACTATTCAGTAATAAAAAGGAACAAAGTACTGATCCATGCTACAACACAGATGAACCTCAAAAGTATTATGCTGGGTGAAAGAAGCCAAACACAAAAACCTCATGTTGTCTGATTCCATTTATATGCAATCTCCACAAATGGCCAATCTTGAGAACAAAGAATAGCTTATAGTCATGCGTTGCTTAATGACACGGAAACATTCTGAGAAATGCATCATTAGGTGATTTTGTCGTTGTGTGAACATCATCAAGTGCACACAGACAGAAAACACATCAGTGGTTGCTTGGGAACAAAGGTGGGAGAAGAGATTGTCTGCAAATCAGCAAGAGGAAATTTCTGGAAGGGAATGAAATGTCCTCTATGTCAACTATGGCGGTAGTTTCACAAGTGTATACATCTGTCAAAACTCATCAAATTGTACACTACAAATGTACAAATTGTTGTACATAATTATACCTCAATAAAGTTGAGTGCATAAAATAAAATAAAGTGAAGGGATTCTATCTTAGCCAAAATCATAATCCCAGTGTCTGGCAAATAAGAGGTGCTAAATAAATCTTTACAGAATAAACGAGTAACTTTAAACGTAAACCCAAAAGGTGAGAAAGACATTACACACGACGCCATTGGATGACATTTGCTTTTTGCACCGTTGCAGACCAACACAGAAGGATCTTTCCCCTTTGTGCCCATCTTCAGTATGCTGTCCATATCATATATAGACTCAAGCATGGAAACTTCAGGTCCCTAGTGAAAGCTTGCTATAACTCAGGCAATATAGAGCAGATTTTGTATTCTACATCCATAGAGGTATTGCTATAAGGCAAACTCACTTGTAGGACTCTAAATTCTATAAAAGCAAGAACTGTGTCTGTTTTATTTACCACTAGTCCTCACTTCCAATATCTGCCTAATATAGAGTAGGCAACAAATAGTATGTGTAAAGGCCCTGTAACCAGATAGCGCACAGGAAAGAGGGACTTCTAAGGAGGCCAAAGTGGCTGATGGGCAGAGAGCAGAGAGACTGTCACATCCAATAAGACTGTGGAAGCAAGTAGGGTCCAGATCATGCAGGACATTGTAGGCCATGTGAAGTTTTGTCTTTATCCTAAGAGTAACAGAAAGCCATGGAAGATTTTTAAACAGGTCGTTGGCAGAGGAGGAAGGAAGGAAAGGGGCAGGATTAGATTTGCATTTTGAAAAGATCACAGCCACAGCGTAGAGAAGAGACTGGTTGTGTGGGAGGAGGGTGAGAAGGGGACAATGGAGTGTTAGGGTGTAGAGTGAGTACAGACCAATAAGGAGACAAGTGTAACAGCCCATTAAAGAGATAATGGTAGCTTGGTCCAAGGTGGTGGACATGGAAAAAAGTAGACAGACCACCAATATATTTAGACAAATCAATAGGACTTGATTTTGGGAATGAGGGAATGGAAAACACTCAATTCTTCTGAGCCTCAAGTCTTCATCTGTAAAACAGGACTGTTGATACTCCATCTGTATAATATCTATGTTGCAATCTGCTGTGATAAGAATATGAAATAATATAAATATTATGAACTTAATGCAGAGCCTGACACGTAATAAATGCTAAAAAAATCGCTACTGCTATTATTATTGTCATCCCACGGAATGGCAACTACCAGAGGCAGAACCATAAAGGAAGAAAATAAGATTGCAATTAAAAATTTGCATCCGCTAAGCTGAAGACACAGAACATATCAGCTTGCCACTGAGACAACTGTTCCAAATAAACACATCTGACCACATAGATATTTCATCTAAGCCAATCTCAGTCCTCAAAAATTGGTATGATCACAGCCATCTGAGAGTCCGGTAAACTAAGTCCCAAGGGTAGCTATAAATTTAACCAAGGACAAGGAATTGAGTGGCTTGATTCTCATTTGTGATCCAACAGGACTAGGCCTGCATCCTGAGCAGCACAAATTTATACCCCTCAATGTCTCTTGGCTCCCTTGCTGACAAGGCCCTGTCATCCCTTGGCTTAAGACCGTACGTCCGTTCGCCATCCATCCAAGCTCTTCCGGTTGCCTGCCCCTAGTTACAAGTGCACGGAAGATCCCAGACGCCGGAGGGCTCGACATACCTTAGCTTCGCGCTCTCGTTCCTCGGCGGTCGGAGTCCTCTTCATGCTGCCGCTTCAGCCGCCTCCGCCACTGCTAGCCGCGTACATCCCTCGCCCTCGACCCCGCCTCCTACATGTAGTTCTCTTGCAGTCCTGCTCCCGCCCGGAGCCATTCGCCCTCCAAGTCACGAGAACTACAACTCCCAGGATGCACAGCGGCGACGCCCGAGAGCGCCTCGGGGTTTGGAGCACGGGAATTTCCCAGGTCGGACAGCTGGGCAAGCGTATTCCGCTACGCTTCAAGCTGGCGGGCTAGGATCCGGGGAGAACTACATTTCCCAGGAGGCAACGGGGCCTGCCACGTGTTTCCCGTGCTCCTCTCGGCCAGCAGCCCGACACGGCGTGGGCACTATAGCAACGGTAGCTAGCGGCGGGGAGAGAGTGTCGGTGAGTACTGTGGGGGTGGAGAGGGGGATGGAGGTGGCCAACCCTCTATCTGCAGCAAGAGCGGGGGTCCTGGGGTCTGCTCTACGTCCTAGAGTCCTGCTCGCGTGAAAAGTAGCCCAGCACGAGACACCTCCACATCGTCAGGCCTGAATCACAGTCCCCCCATTATCCCCTCGCCCAGGACAGGTTTGAAATTTTATATCCCAGCCGGAAACCCTAGCTGTTGAGAGTTGATGCTAATTACCGTTCTTATCCAAGTTCTCCTTCAAGTAGAAGGTCACACAAACAGTTCGCTCGTTTGACTTGGATTAGGAGTTGGTTGGTAAACCCTAAGCCGCCTCCTGTGTGGCCTATTGTTTGCTTAATTATAGTTGTTTATTGTCTAATTACTCTATAGCCTGTTGACTCCATAGAGGTGGAGACTTTGTTTACTGTTTTAGTCTCACTGCCAGGTATTCATTTATTTATTCGAGGAATATTAATTTTGGCGCCCACCGGGTGTCAGGCACTGTTCCCGACCAGCTGTTAACAGGACTGATAGCAATCTCAAGATGCTTATACTTTATTAGTGAAGACAAACTAGTAATGAACTAGCAAACAAATAAGATATTTGCAGACAGAGATGATTGCTATAAAGAAATAAGCAATGATGAAATTGGGAGGAAGAATATCTAACATAGGATGATCAGGGAACACCTCTTTGAGGAAGTGACCTTTGAGCTGAGCACCGAAGAATGAGGAGCCAACTAACGCAAAGGCCTTGAGCAAGATAAGGGTACCATGGACTTGAGGAACCTAAAGGAGAACAGTGTGAATGGAGCATAGTGAACAAGGAGGCAGGAGATGGTGTTGGAGAAGCATTGCTGCATTGTGAAGGGTTTCTCAGCCTCCACACTATTAACATTTTGGGCCAGATAATTCTTTGTTGTGGTTCCTGTGCATTGTAGGATGTTTAGCGTCATCTCTGGCCTCTAGATCCCAGTAACAGCCCCCCCTTCCCAGTTGTGACAATCAACAACATGGAAACTACCTCTTAGCTGTATAACCTTGGGCAAGTTACCTAAGCTGCGTCTCGGTGTCTTCATTTGTAAAGTAGGCATCATTTGAGTAGCAACCTCACAAGGATGTTGTGAGATATTTAATTAATTCATATAAGCAGAGCACTTAGAAGAGTGCCTAGCACATTTTAGTAAACAATAAATGCTAACACCTTTATCATCATCATTGTTATTATTATAAAAGCTACCATAACCTATCAGGGAAAGGTTATCATTTTCACAGGTGTCCTGTGTTTAAACTTCTTGGTAATTTGGTTCCTAAAATTGACCTTTTCTGTAGCAGTGTTTCCAAAAGAAGTAGATGATCTCCCAGGCATTTGTCTGTTAGCTGCTTATGTCACAGGAAAATGCAGTGGTTCTCAACCTTTGAGGAGTTATAGTAAAAGTTATGAACCCTCTCCCTAAAAGATATTCCATATACATATATGCATACAAGATTTTGTAAACCATCTCGGGGTCCATAGACCCTGAATCAGCCTCGTGGACTCAACTATTTAGTGAATGCCTGCCATGTGCGGAGCTCTGTGCCAGCCTCTGAGAGTACAGAGGTAAACAAGACAAAAAGCTTGCTGCTCTCTTGGACTTTACATCCTAGGACCAACACTCTGGAGTTTGAGAACCTGTGCCTTAGGGCATCTTCATTAGCAGCTTGCATTTGGCTTTCCGGATAGATTAAAATGAAAATATAAAATCCTTTTTTTTGCATACTGGATATTTCGTGGACCACTCACATCCACATACTACACTTAGTTACTGTAGTGCATCTCTGTGAAGAATAGAAACTGTAAAAATGCCACAATTAGCTGGACAACCTGTATGTTAAAGTAGGAAGCTCTGGGACCTGTGCATCATGGCAACAAAGACAGGATGGAACAAAAACAAACCCAGTGAGTGAATTTATGAAATCTCTTACAAAACTTGGAACTATCCAGTCATTTGTGCATCAAGCTGAAAATTAGCATTTAAGTAATATTGACATCCCAGGCAAATGTGCTGAATGCTTTTAATTTAACATCTCACTAACCCTTAGAATAACTCTGTGAGATAGGTGTTATTTCTCCATTTTTAAAATTAAGGAACTGAAACTCAGCAAGCTTAGGAGACTTGACCAGCTGGTAAGTAACAGAACAGTCATTTGAATCAAGTTCCTGACTTGAGTTTTTCCCAAGATCCCTGCATTCTTTTGGGGCAGAGAGGGGGATGGCAGATGGAGAAGAGGTATTTCTTAAATTTGAGGGAGTTTATTTTTGTTTCAGATAGAGGAATAAGAAGAGAGAAGGAAGAATGATAATCTTACCTCATTTCCTAAGCAAACTATAGGAAATACACTGTTGAAAGGAACACTATCTCCATGATTGAACGTAGTATTGCTTTTAAAATAGAAGCTTTCATCTTCTTCAAGCAGCACATGTGGGCAATAAGATGCCCATTAAAGTTCAAGTGCTTTATTCATTTTATTTGGTTCATTCCATTGCATAGTTATAATGTTGTAACTTGGAAAGATTTTATTTGAGTTTTCTTTTCTCCACAGATAGGCCATGTCCGGTCCAGCTGATGAGACTGCGGGAGACCTGCCTGTGAAAGATACAGGTCTAAACCTCTGTGGAATGGGAGGGTTACAAGGTAGGGCCAGCTGTTATTTATTATCGTTATGAACTTTGATCAGTAACTTCTTTTAATTTAAAGTATTTCTGATATTCATACAAACAAAGCCATTTAAGTATATAGCTCTTGATTGGACTAAACAAGGAGATGGAGCATTTAGAACAACATATGGTATTTTACTGCATGCATCAATTATCAACAGCTCATAGAAGATGTAAAATCCCCCTCTTCTGATAAAGAATTGTTATAAATCATCTTTTTAAAATTCCACACCTCCGTAGAAACTACACAGAGTATCAAGCCTCCAAACCAAATTGCCTGGTTTAAATCACATTCACCATTAAAATGTTTCTTTGTGTTTAAATTTTATATGGGAGGAAATGCCATATTTAAAATTTTTGCCTTTCAAGTAGAGTATCTCAAAGTGGTTTGTTTATCCAAGTGATATTCACTTTGTTTTATCAAATTAATATACATTAAAGGTTCCCTTTATCCTTTTATAACTTAGTGGTTACGATAGAGCTAAAAAGCACTTTCAAAATAAAAAAGAAAAGCACTGCTTTAAGGAACAATTTAGAGTTAGAGCTAGGTTTTTGTTTGCGTGTACAATGTGTCAGCCCTGCTGTCATGCCACTGCATTTGCCATTGAGAAGGCTGTGGTATAAAGTATATTCCACTAAGGCATTTTTGTGCACCTGTTAATCAGAACAATGCAAGTGGCCACCTTGAACTACCACAGAAAGGTGGTCGATGTATTGTTCATCGAAAAAGATAAATTTGACTATACCGCTGTTATGGTTAAAAGCAAAAAGTATGTGTAAGCTTTGCTTTAGATCTTTAGGGGCGTATCAGAGATTAAATACAAATAAATTCTAAGGGTGCAAAGCTATTTATTGGGATTTGATACCCTAAGTTCAGTTCTTGCCCTTAGTAACACACCATAAGGCTTTAATCTTTGTCCATTTGTTCTTTGTTTCTTTTGGAGGATTGTTGAAAATTTACCTACTTCACAGTGATAAGGAAAATACCAAATTTAAGCATATGTAAACAAATATATACACATGCTACAAGGTGTAAAAGTTCTTCAAAAGTGTGTAAGACAGCTTATAAATGATTTGTAAAGGGTTTTTTGTTTGTTTAGTCTTGCAAATTTTTTAGTTTATTTTCTGTAACTCAACACCCATAGCTCAGAAAAATATCTCAATCATATTATGTTCACTAAATTATTGTTATAACTCTTGCCTTTATAAAATAAAAATACGTTCAAATACTCTTTTAATTTAGTTTTTTCAACATTCAGTATGTAAATTGAAAAGTCTTTATTGAATCAGAGTTCCATCTCACATTCTTAAAGAATGATTATTGGAATACATTTTTGAATGGTTACTATTGTTGCTCAAATCCTTAATATTGCATATAATGTACTAATAGCAAAGATTTTTATTCTCACCTCCAATCAGTGATGTTCACATCTTACAGAAAATGCTATAACATTTTCTAAAGCAATCTTAATTGTAGGTCACAAAGGAAGAAATCTGAGATGAGTGTATTAGAGATTATATCAATATCAACAGTTGTGATTTTTAGAGACTATTTTAAGTAATCCTACTATTAATTACCTTGGAATTTTTGCAGAAACTTCAACAACACGGACAGTGAAGTCTCGCCAGGCGGTGTCACGTATCACTCGTGAGGAACTGGAAGACAGATTTTTGCGTTTGCATGATGAGAACATTTTACTTAAACAGCATGCCCGCAAGCAAGAGGATAAAATTAAAAGGTTATGATAAGAAGCTTTTAGCTTTTTTTTTTTTGACTTTCTAAAGTTTGGAGGATATGCTTTTTTATAAACTTAATTGAAAACTCCACCTTGAGTCTTTTTTGGAACTAGGCAGGTTGTAATAAATAGTTTTTAAAAATGGAAAATCTTACAAACTAGAATAATAAACCAAAAAGATTATGCGCGTTTATTATGTTTGAAATTGCTATTTGAAAGAAAGAGCTAACAGCTAAGAGTGCCATGAGTATTATCATATATATAAATAACTTTTGATTTAGTATTTATAGTTTAATAAACCAATCATCAAAGCATCTGTTTTTTAAATGTCTTGATTTTAAAATCAGTTTCAAAAAGTAATTATCTATTCCAACTTGTTACAATGCATGTTCCCTTAAGATTTAGGATTTACTAATGAAAACATCAGTATCTGAAACATATTTAACTTTGCTTGGATTATTCTGGAATCTATATTTATGTCAAAAAGTCTGTACTATTTCTGAAGAAATATTGTCACTTTTGATTTGTGTGCAAAGAATTTCCTCAGGAATAAGTTCTTAGGGGTAGGTATTCTTTAAATCTTGTTCAGGAACACTGTGACTATCTTCTGAATGTGTGGCATTAAAAACAAAAAAGTGCATTCACATTCGTAAGCATGAACAGGTCTGTATTCATATTCATCTTCTAGGTTCACTGAAAAGGTGACAGCCATTGAAGAAGGAAGATAGGGTTTCTTTCTGCTTAGAGTTTATTGTAAAGAGGTGATCCAGTGCAGTTTCTACTCGGTAGCCTTTGTTTTAGTGACCCACTGACCTGCTGTGTGTGGGACTTATACTTTGAGGTGGTTTTGGAGTCATGACGATGGCTTTTTTCAAGACATGTGACTCACTTGCCTGATTCCTTTTCTGACCATTGACACACACACACGTCAGCCTGTCAGAAGGAGGCATGTAGTCTCTGACCACTAAACAATTGTTTTTCTTTGTGAGCCTAATTAGTCAAAGAACTGAATTCATAACCTTGGCCTCATTAGTAATTTGTGCTAGCCAGAAAATATATAACAATAATGAGCCTTGTAGTTTAATGGAGAAAGGACTGGGCTGGGAGTCAATTTGTAAGCATATGTTCTCTTACCTCTGACACTAGCCTATGGTCTGTTCAAGCTGTTTAACCTCCTGAGATTTTATTTTGCTGTGCCCTGAGAGTAGCGGTCCAATGACCACTACGACCCGGAGCTGTAAATTCCTTCTCACATTCACACCACTGACACTATCTACACACGTGGATAGAATTGCCTTTAAATTTATCCTTAAGATGTAATTAGTATCACTTACTTTAGTATAAATGTAGATTTGATAAACCGCCTTTTCAAATAAGTACTTAAACTTTACCAGATCACTTATGATTAATTAATATCATGAAATAACCAAATCAAACAGGAAAATTATTGCTATTACTAGACAAATGCATGCAATGTTATGTTTCTTGACAAAGTTTACTTGAACATCTTTGAAGGAATTTAAAGCCACTCTATTGATGTCCTTTTCTCGCCTTAAAAATTGGGGTCATTTATTTTTCTTTAGATGTTGACTGCTTTTTCCTATTAAATCTGTGTCTTTCTTTTGGATGTGATTTCTCTCTATGTGAAAGTCTCTCTGAAGGAGAAGATTCAAATGTTTAGGTTGACATCTCAGTTAGACAGCTGCCATATTTCTATGGATAAGCCACTGGATGAGGCTCAGGATCCTAAACTCATCAACGGGCTAGGTAGAGTGTGCGGCTCTGTTGGGCCATGATACCTGTCCACATTTCCTGATGATATGTCATTCTCTGGATTAGGTGGAAAAGGAACTAATCCATTGATTATTTCACCAGGGTGTTTGTGGTACTTTTGCATCTTGGTTTTTATTATCCTGTATCCCTTGTAAAGCATGTTTAATGGATGTGCCTCAAGGGAAAGAGAAAACAATCCTAACTGATTATGTTATGCATAGCTCTCCCTGATGCCACATGCTGTAGGCTGAGTAGCCAGAAGTGTAGATAGACATGTATTACTACTGCTTTTACAGAGGACTCTGCTTAGGGCCAAAAAAAAGTGGTTCTATGACATCCCAAAGCCATTAAGGATTTTTTTATTTCACTTTTGTTCTCTTAAGTAAAAGCTTCTGTCCATAACCATGCTAAAATAAAGCAAACCCCGTTTAAAGAAAAATGAAGTGTGTTTTTATTTTCAATCTCCTGTCTGGGTCTTTATAAAAATAGGTTCACTATAAACTAGAATCAGCTATTGAAGATGTGCGACCAATTTTGTAAAGTCTTGAACTTGTGTCTCTCATCAAAGCCACCTTTTCTTTCTTGTCCTGCCAAGATTTTTCCATTCACTGTCAGGCATGTTTTCCGTACGTGTATATTACATCACCCCCATGTGCCCTTTCTGTCTTTTGTTCTGTCTAACCAGTTTTTATCAAAACTTAAAAGAATCAAAGGTAGAAACTCCTGAGATGTCAAAAGCAGAATTTATGTCTAAATTTAAAGATAGCATTAGAATAATACTTTTTGCATCCAATTATTTTCTACCTTTAAACATGCATGTTTTTAGAGCACTAAGCAACATTTAATAGGGTCTTTCGGTTTCTTTTGAATTTTTCAATGGGCTTTTTTATGTGTGTTCCTATGCATTCTAACATTTTTATATTTGTAATATGTCTTAATCCTAGAGAAACTGAAAACAATATATCATCTAAATGCTACATAGTCTTAGCACACTTTTCAAAAGTTTTAGCTTACTGTGGCTTGCAGATAAAACCCACCACATCCACAATCTGTAGGTACATTTAAGTGCATCCAGCATTCCTACATAAGGTCATGCGTTAAAAATTGCATTTGAGGAACATATGGAGTAAATATGTGTCCTCTCTTTACTAACCTTAAATGATAAGCCTTAGGAAACTGTTATTTGTCAGTGCTATAAAGCAGATTGTTGCCCAGTGGTTTCAATTATCATCAAAGGATTCTTCACAGGCAGTAATAGTTACATCAAAACCTGAAATTTATTATTCAGGTTCTGCACTGAAGTCTTCACAGTGATTATGTTCCTTTCAACAGAATGCATTTTATGCTGACTTCTCACATTCCTTTTCATCTTTTTATTATTTCCCTAGGATGGCCACCAAGTTAATACGGCTAGTTAATGACAAGAAAAGATATGAGCAGGTTGGTGGCGGCCCCAAGCGGCTGGGACGAGATGTGGAAATGGAAGAAATGATTGAGCAGCTGCAAGAGAAAATTCATGAGCTTGAAAGACAAAATGAAGTCCTCAAAAACAGACTAATTTCAGCCAAACAACAGCTTCAAATCCAGAGTTACAGGCAAACACCATACAATTACGTGCAATCTCGTGTTAACACTGGGCGTAGAAAAGCGAATGAAAATGTAGACTTACAGGAATGCCCCAGGAAAGGTAAAATAAGCCTTACATTAAATCCTAAATTTAAGTCTTTTAATAGGTTATTTTACACACACACAGTTTTATTTCTGTATTCTTGTTTTTAATTGTCTTCAGAAAGAGAGAGAAAAATAGTTTTTTGACTTGCTTTTTGATAAAATCATATTAATATTAATGTGAAGATCATTTTATTTAGGAATCACTAGATTCTTATTTGTTTAGCGAGACATTGAATGTTGAGACATGTATGAAACTACTTAAAATACGAGTTTAGTGAGTCGGTTTTTTATGTTATGGATGGAAATCACGTTGACTCAGGCAAATGGGGAAGCCAGCTAGTTTGCTTATATATGATGGCACTATTTTGAATGATCACACTAAGTTCTTCATCCAAAGACCTTTTATAAAACTTGCAGAATTGTTTAAATCTTTCTCATTGTGTGGAGGCAGCGTGACAGTGGGATGCGAACATAACTAGGGATTTAAGAAGTTGGGTTTTTGCTTCTCTACTTACTGTCTGGTGACCTTGGACAAGTCTTCTAATCATCCTGAACTTGAATTTTCTTTACATGTAAAATAAAAGGATTTAAGCAAGTGATCAGAAAGGTCTCTTCCATCTCCGATAATGCTCATACGTCATTTACTTTCCTCATTTTGAAAATGAATCACCTAAAATGTACCCAGCTTACAAAGCAGTTTAGTTGCATAGACAAGACTCAATATATAAACAACGTAAATACTTCTAATGAAACTTCCCAATTCCCTCCACTGACAGACAAACTTTATTTGTAATGAAGTGAAGTCAATAAATACTTTAAGTAGCAGTTTTTTAGTTTCAACTGCAGGGAAGGAAGTAAAACTTCAGCTCTAGTTGATCTTCATAAAAAGACCAAACATTTTTAGGGACGTAGAAAATCCTGTAAAACTTTCATTTTAATTCATTGAAGGAAAAAAAAAAACACTATATGAACAGAAAGGGAAAGAAATTTGTTCTATTTTTTTCTCAAGCCAAAATGTTAACACTGTCTATTCCCTTGGCAGAGTCCCTTTGAAGTCAACAAGGCCTCCACACAGGCGAGAGGCAGCTGCAGGATGAAAGGGCTTGGCTACTCCTATCTCTGTGAGATTGGCAGTAGACTTTGAATATAACCAAAGGAGTCATAATGAATTATAAATCAGAAAATACATTCTGCCACTAATTAACTTTTTACGTGGAATATAGCACTTGGCCTCTCAGAGCCTCATTTTCCCCATCTGTAAAATGGAGTGACACCACCAGGTTAGAGAAAAGGTCAGGAGATGGTAGCTCCACAATAATATATTTTAACTTTAAAAAGTTACTTATCCTCTCTGAACCTTAGTTTTCTCATCAGTGACTATAGTCAGGCAAGATCATCTCTAAGGTCTCCAAGGTCTTTTATACTAAAGAAAAACAATGCCCAAATTTTAGATTAACATGGTGAGCTAGTGCTATGAATTGCTGTTTAAATAGAAGTTTGATGGAAGTTTCTCCCTATAGAAAAAAAAAAGCCACAGAGCAAAAGAGTTCTTTTCAAATGTGACTACAGAGATTAAATTTCTCCTTGTGTTTACACTCTTAAGTAGTTCAGACCTTTTTCACGGGTAGAGAGGCCAGGACATAGAAGCTGCCCAAAGCATTAAATAGTGATGAATACTTTCTTAACCACTGTCTTTCTAAGTAAACTTGAGGCACCGTTGTCAAGGCATCACGATACCTTAGCGATGGATCTTCAAGACCGCCTTTGAGGCTGGGACTTAGGCCACACCTGTGGGAAATATCGCAGCCTGAGGTGGCTGGGGGGAACCCTAGACCCTCTCTGGCCACAAGCAGCTCTGTGCCCAAGCTACTGTACGAATATTATTTTCTTTTTGTGCATTGTCAGGATAAAGGATGAAAAGTACTGGCTTAAGGTGTGATCAGTGTATTGTAGAAATAATTCTTATTGTAAAGAACCAGTAGAACAAAGATTTTTGTCAAGTGTATACGTTTTAAAATATAACCGTTGTCAAATCACCATGAGACTATAAGTTTTAAGATATACTTTGAGTATAAATAGTTTTTTTTTTAATTCCATTAGTGATGTTTAGTTTTTTCATAATTGATGTAGGAAAAGCTTAAGAATTAGCATTACTGACAAAAGAGTATAATTGGCAAATTTTAACACAGTAAATTATTTTAACGTTTTCGGCGGAGGCTTTTCTGTTCTTTAGTTTGGATTACAGCAATAGGTGTTGAAAGTTTTGGAAATAGCAAACAATAATTCCATTGTTCTAATGAAAATTCTCACTTTTAGAAAGGAGACTTTTCTAAAGAGAATGAATTTCCTCTACCTTTATATCTGGGACTGTTCTCCATGAAAGAAAAAATCTAAATTATTTTTCATACTTTATCTACTTTAAATTCTCATCATTTAATTATTCTGTAAGTGTAAAGTAACTCAGGTAAGTAAAAGTATGTCTCATTTTTAATAATGAGACCTGGCTTGTAATATTGCATGTAACTGTTTTTGTAAGAAAAATTGTATTCTAAGTGCAGTAGCAAAATGTTGTATTTAAAGGAATCCTGTTGATGATCCCTTCTTGAATTACCTTTATTTAAATACGCATTTTTTTTTTTTTGTAGCTTGTTCATCATCTTGCTTTCAATTTTTATTTTTAAATTTGGGATTATGTAATGTTCCAAAGAAACATAGAAAATGACACCCCCCAGTAGCCCACTACACAGACTTAACAAACGTTAGTTAACTTTTTGCGCTGGCATCTTGTTTAGGCCTATCTTGGGGATAGCCCCATGTGAGTGCAGCTCCATACAAAGGAGTCCAGTTACTGACTAAATGTGGATTTTCTTATTGAGGTGGAGTACACCAAAGTACAGGAAACATTTGACTTATACTCACAGTATCTATGAGTCATACAACTGAAGATAAGATTCAAAAGGTAAGGTCAAGGGAGGTGAATGACTAATTTAAAAACCAAAAAACTTTTATCAAAAAATACTAAAAAACGAAAGTCACGTTTTTGAAACCTTTTTCCTTCATACTTTAGTTTACATGAGTTGAAGACTTTGGTTCTTTCAGAAATTACTTCAGGAGTTCAAAATCTGAGTTGAATCAGATTATTTCTAGGTCATTCGGTTTCCGTAGTGGAATTGTTAAACGGACAGTACTTGCTGCTGTGATTGATTTCATGCCAGCTGGTGGCTGAGATCTCACAGTCCCTTTGGCAGAGTATGTCTGCTTCTCTGTACTATAGAACACATATCTCTCAGTACTCAAGAAATTTTATTATATTACAAATTTCCTTATGATAGGAAATTAAGGGTCCTTCATTTCTAATTTCACTTTATAATCATATTAATTTATTCTTAGGTATTAGATTCCAAGATGTAGCTGTAGCAGAAACTCTACAACCCATGCTTACAAAATATGGCAACACTTTACTTGAAGAAGCCAGAGGAGAAATAAGAAATTTGTATGTATTCTTTTTGTGGTCATTTTAAAACTTTGTTTGTTGATCATGTCTTTTTTGATCCCTCCCTTTCCTTAATTTTAGACAAATTTGGTTTATGTACAAATAATTTGCTCCACTAAAATGCAGCTAGATCTGTGGGGTAAGAACAGATATTATATGACATCCGTCCAGGAAAATGAACAGCTAACCAACTGCATTGATGGAACTATTGCATCAATCCAAGGATTACAGAACAGTCTTCTTTATTATAATTTCCTCCCAAAAAAATGGCATAAAGCCCAGTCATTCAGAATATTATAAGCTTTAGAGGCAACATTTTCATTCTCAGAAAAATTGCAGATAATTTTTTTTCTAGATCTTGAATTAATTAGCCTTTTTGTGGTTAAAAAAAAAGAATTGGAAGGAGTGGCTAAAAAGTTTGGAGTTATCAAATACATATGGATTTCAGATTTTGTTTCACTGTGACTCTACGGTACCGCATTCTTCATCATACTATGGTTTCAAAAAGTTACCCCTGCCACATTTCGCTTACTTTTCCAGTTAATCAAAGCCTCATGCTTTCAGTGTCTGTGAGTCACACAAAAATGAGCTTCCACCTTATCTACAGGCCTTCTCCTACCTGGATCGTCAAAAAGGAGCAATTCTGAATGAAGAGAAAACGTGAGACAAAGACCTTAGATAGTTGCTTAAGAATAATATGGGCTTAAAATTTTTCTTTTGAATATTTTAAATACCAGTTACAGTAATGATTGGGCTATGAGAGAATAAAACTAAAAGACTAGACCTAATCTTGTTACCTATTAGTCAGCTGAAAAGCCAGGGTTCATACCATTTTTCTGAGGCTCCTTACATTAGGATGCTGCCAGACATGACAGAGATAAATAGATGCCAGAGACCACTCAGTTATGTTTTGCAAATTTCTTGCCATCCCTCTCTGAAGTATTAATTTGGGTGGTATAGGCAGATGTGCATGTGAAGGAGCAAAAGCATGTAAATTCTCTGAAGGTGACTAGATTGTGGAGCACGTGGTAGATGACCAATAAATACTCACTGAATCAAACTGAACTAAAGTCCAACCCATTGCCTCCAGCATTGTCTTCCAAAAGCAGAATCTTGAGTTGTTCCTTATGTATTTCTGAGTCGTTGCATTTAATCTCCTGTGATTTCACTATGTGCTGAGGCACTTAAACTAATATTTTTAACTTTTGCTTGCTCTTTATTATGAAGAACTTCCTTTGTACCGATCTTAAATATTAAATACTGCAGATTTTTCTCAAACTACAAATTCTTGTAAAGGTTTTTGGTTTTTTCTTTTTTTTTCCCCCAGAGAAAATGTTATTCAGTCACAGAGAGGCCAGATAGAAGAATTGGAGCACTTGGCTGAGATCCTGAAAACTCAATTGAGGAGAAAAGAAAATGAAATTGAATTATCTCTTCTTCAGCTTCGAGAACAGCAGGCTACAGATCAAAGGTATGTTAAAACAGAAATATCTCTTTGATAAGGTCAAAATTAGTTTAAAATACTTTATCATAGAAGGGTAAGTCTAGTCTGTTTAAAAATCATGTTTTTACTTAACATTCTTCACATGAGCCTGCTTCAGACCTGCTAACTGCTATCAACAACTGTAGGCCATGGGCGTTTCTCCTTGACCTACTCTGCCTCATCTTGTTTCCTTGGCTCATTTGCCCCATTTACCAAGACTTAGGAAGTTCTGACGCCATTTGATTGTACCTACCGAGAGAAATACATGTGACCAGGACTCAGCCATTGGCGTGCCTTGTGAATAAGTCCTGCCTTATTTAAGTTTGTTTCAACCTTAAAAAGTAGAAAATTCCATAATATGGTACCAGTTTTTTTATCCCAAAAAGATGTTACTTCGCCTAATATTCAAAATTTGCATCAAATTCTGTTGATGGTTATGGATGACAGTGGGGCCCTCCAGTGGTCTCCTTGCTGCCTCTTCGTTTTTGATGTTTTATGATGTACGTTCTTCTTCATCATATTTTGGTTCCTAATACCTTTCACTCATTTTGTGCTTCAACATTGTGCTTCCAACAAGACTTTATCTGTTTTTTTTTTTTGATACTGGCACCTGAGCTAACATCTATTGCCAATCTTTTTTTTTTTCTTCTCCCCAAAGTCCCCCAGTACACAGCTGTATATTCTAGGTGTAGGTCCTTCTGGTTTGTGCTACGTGGGTTGCTGCCCCAGCACGGCCCGATGAGCGGGTGCCCTGTCAGAGCCCAGGATCCGAACCAGCGAAACCCTGGGCCATAGAAATGGACCACACAAACTTAACCACTCAGCCACGGGGCCGACCCCTATCTTTTTACCATATTCTTTCTTGAATTATTTTCTTCCCTTTATGACTTTTTTCTTTTTGTTTGTTTTTTTGGATCAAGCGTACCCAAAAGTACAGGGAATAGTATATTGAACTCCCATGTGCCCATCACTCAGCTTTAACAGTCATCAACATATTACCAATCTTGTTCGTCTATCCCTTCACCTTTATTTTCTTCAGTTAATTAGCCCAGCCAGCTACCATGTCATCTCACCTCTAAACGCTTCAGTATATATCTCTATCTGATAAGGCAATTTTTTTTCACTCCTCTGTCTGGAATGTCTTGCCTCTAGCCCCCGTCTCTACTCACCAAAATTTCACCCATCCTTGAAAGTCCACCACAAATGATGCCCCCTCCATGAGTCTTTTCTTGATAACCTTAACTGGATGTCCTGCCTCCCTCTCACAACCTTATACCTCCTAGGCACATGTATTATTCTTGCTTACGTTATAGCTATTCCACATGTTGGTGTTTCCCACCTATCCCTAGATTGGATATTCCTTGGGGCCACATACTGTTCTGCTTCATGTTTCTATTGCCTCTAGTATCTAGCACAGTGCTTTATTATTATTGTTGTTGTTCAATTTATTTAAACTAAAAACAAAACAAATCAGAAAAACAGTTCACACATTTCTGCCACTCTCCCCTGCCACCAATATGTTCTCTGTATCTATGAGCTTTTTCTTTTTTTGGATTCCACATATAAGAGAGATCATACGGTATTTGTCTTTCTCTGTAAGACTTATTGCATTTAACATAATGCCCTCGGGGTCCATCCATGTTGTCCCAAATGGCAAGATTGCATTCTTTTGTATGGCTGAATAATATTCCATTATATAATAGATATGTATATATTGCACAATTTCCTTATCCATTCATCCATAGAAGGACACTTATGTTGTTTCCATATGTTCGTTTCTGTACATAATGCTGCAGTGAACATGCGGGTGCATATATCTTTTTGAATTAGTGTTTTTGTTTCCTTCAGATAACTACCCAGAAATGAAATTGCTGGATCATATGGTAGTTCTGTTTTTCCATTTTTTGAGTAACCTCCATACTGTTTTCCATAGTGGCTGCACCAATTTACATTCCCACCAACATGCACAAGGATTCCCTTTTCCCCACATCCTTGCCAACACATGTTATTTCTTATCTTTTTGTTGATAGCCATTCTAACAGGTGTGAGGCGATATCTCATTGTGGTTTTGATTTGCATTTCTCTCATGATTAATGATGTTGAGCATCTTTTCATATAACTATTGGTCATCTGTATGTCTTTCGGAAAATGTCTTCAGAGTTTCTGCCCATTTTTAATCAGATTTTTTTTTGCTGTTGAGTTGTATGAGTTCTTTATATATTTTAGATATTGGCCCCTTATCAGATATATGATTTGCAATTATTTTCTCCCATTCAGTAGGTTGCCTTTTCATCTTGTTGATGATTTCCTTTGCTGTGCAAAAACTTTTCAGTTTGATGTAGTCCCACTTGTTTATTTTTGCTTTTGTTAATTACGCTTTTGGTGTCAGATTCAAAAAAATCATCTCCAAGACGTATGTCAAGGAACTTACCGCCTGTGTTTTCTTCTTCGAGTTTTATGGTTTCAGGTCTTAGATTCAAGTCTTTCATCCGTTTTGAGTTTATTTTTGTGTATTGGCTGAGACAGTGGTCCAGTTTCATTCTTTCATATGTGGCTATCCTTCAGTACAGATCTCTATCTGATAAGGAATTTTTTTAACATAACCACCATGCTGTTATCACACCTAACAAAATTAAAGCAATTCCTTGATGTCGTCTAATAACCAGTTTATATTCAAACTTCCCTGACGATGTCTTTCTACTGTTTGTTTGAATTGGAATCCAGATGAGGTCTGCACATTGCGCTTGATCGTTCTCTCCCTTATGTCTCTCTCATTTCTCCCTTTATGTTTCTAACCAGCCCCAGAGCCTCTGCCTGTTTTTCCCCTTTCCGTTTTATGTGATATCGTGCTTATGTGGCTCGATTCTTATTTGGAAAAAACCAAGTATGATTAACTAGTTTTTCATTTCAGATTCAGAGTTTAATTCTCCTTTAACAAACTAACCTTACACAGTAATATTTGAAAAAGCTAAGAACAGATGCGTAATATGAGACTTGTTTTAAAAAAATTAAGTGGGCTAAAAATATATGAAAAGCTTTATATGTCAGAGATTTAAACGACTAGTATTATCTCTAATAATTTCTGTTCCTAAAATGTTATGTGTAAAATTAAATTACATAATGAAATTTTATATGTTTAGTGACATTTATCTACCCTTCTAAGTGCAGGACAAAAGAAACATGAATATTTTTGAGAATTATGTTTATATGAGGAGATGTAATTTGAACTATTGAACTAGACGTTATCCGTGTCCCCCCAGGAAGAAGCACTGATTAGACTTAGCCTCCGTGGAAAACCAAGGCATGGCTCCTTGTGAGGAACAGTGCTGAAGGACCAGACCCCAGCACTGAATGTGGTGATCTTTGTAAATTGCCAACAGCCATATTTAATAAACTATCTGAATATAAAAATTCTGCGCTTAGGCCAAGCCCAAGCTTGGACCCAGCCCTGTCAGCTTTACTCCACAGCTGAGTACAAGGTGATCAGAGACGACTTCCTGTGTCATGTTTCCTAAGTTTCCAGAGAGTAAGCTGGACATGGTGTTGGCTGTTCTTCCGAAGGGATCTGACCAACTAGGAGCTAGAGTTTTCAGTGTTAATTGAAAGGGAGATCCAAAAGCCTTCAATAGACTAGAACAGCAGAAGAGATAGAGTGACAGAAGGTACACATATTTTCTACTATAAATATTGTCAGAAAGAGACACCAACATACAAAAATAGAAGAGTTTGCCATAAAAACACCTGAGGCTGTATTGTTCACTCCATAGCAGTCTGGTTTTTGTCACATCAAGAATCAGAAGTAGATGGGGGTTGGCTTGGTGGCATGATGGTTAAGTTCACATGCTCTGCTTTGGCAGCCTGGGGTTCGCAGGTTCAGATCCCAGTTATGGACCTAGCACTGCTCATCAAGCCACACTGTGGTGCCATCCCACATAAAATAGAGGAAGACTGTCCCAGATGTTAGCTCAGCAACAATCTCACTCAAGTAAAAAGAGGAAGATTGGCAACAGATGTTAGCTCAGGGCCAATCTTCCTCACCAAAAAAAAGAGAAGAAAGAAAGAACCAGAAGTAGAAACAAAATGAGTATTACAGGTGAAGAAATTTTTGTTGCAGAGGCCAAAGAAATAAACCAATTTGTACCCCACCTCACTGATTTTCTAAAATTGAAAATTACGTGTTATTTGCTTGGAAGGAAGGGTACTTGTAGTGAATAGCATATTGTTTCTTGAAATGCAGTTGTTGAAAAACTGAAGAAATGACTTCAAATATGGGTCTTCAGGTCTTTTTTTCTTATATGTTTACTCATAGCTCAAAATTTTATGTGGAGCAGCAGTTTTTTTGAGACTAATGGAAAACTGTTGAAGAAAATGTTGGGGAGAATATAAAACTTGGTATAATTTACTGTAGAGAAAAATCAAAATGGAAAACATATTTAAACTCTTTCACGGGTCCATTATTTCAGATTTGAAATTCTAGAAGTCTGATCTGGATGTTGGACCCCTTGTTCTCAAACATGAACCTAACATAGTTGTAATCTTCAGAGTGCGTTGCTTGATATTTATGGGAAAGAGCCTTTTCATAGAATATTACAGAAACTCTTCATAGTATGTGTTTAATAGACCAGTTTGGTTTGGCATCAGTTTGACATAAACTTTTGGTTATCCAAAGCCCTTAATTGCTTTGAAGTAAAAGCCCAGTGCTGCTCTTTTTTATTAAAATCATGTTTTTTCCTGTTATTGTGGTCTATTTTAGAAGACTGAGTTGTGATTTTTGCATATGTTCTACATAATGCCTCATTAGCAAAAAATCTTGTATCATTTACAAGTAGCCTGAATGTCTGTGTTGTTTTGAACAAAAATCCGTATTAAAATTTAAACAATATAAAATGCACATTTTCTGCTTATTAAAAAGGCCGTCTTAAATTAAATGCAAAGCAGTAACCAGTGAACACATGTACATGAACATTAAAATCAGAATGGTTTTACCT